AATAAAAGTGACAATAAAAATATGGTCGGTTTCTGGTGTTATTTGCTATTTACATTTTAAAGTATTGTTTAAAAACTGACATTGTACCTTTTACGTGATAGGTTTTGCTTCTAAAATATTTTATACTTGTTATATTTTACTATTTCATTTTGTCAGACTCCAAAACAAGGTAAACTTACATAATTTAGGGACTGCATTCAAACATTTGATAACTTAAGGGTCTTCAGCATGTTCTGTCAGGCTTGCACATTTTTTGGTCATGCATAACAAAATTCACTTAACCTGTTTTTCTGTTTATAAGTTTAACCTCCTTCCAAGGGTGTACATATGCTGCATTTACACATTTGTCACCACATCCTCCAAGACATGAATCACAGAGAGATTCCGTGTTTAAACTTTCCCTTCCTTTACGCTCCTGATGCAGTGCAACTTCCTTGTTCCAGGGACTGTTCTTAGTGCCCTGTCTTGCCACTCTCGCAAAACTTCATCATGCTTCACAAAAAGAACAGATCTCCAAAATGAAGAGCAACATTGGTCCTTGGTAGCATCTTTTGTGACATTGCCTTCAAGATAACCATACAATTGCTTTGGGGTGCTAATGATGGCTGTTCCAGTTTTCACAGCTTCTGCTGCTTTTCTCTTTACCACTCCGCTTTCCCCATCGCTGGCACCTTTGCCATGTCTGGTGCCTGAATAGTTGTGGTAGATGATGTGCCCAAAATCTTCTCTTGCATAACTGATATCTGAAATCGGCCACTTACTTTTGTACTGGCTGCTACAACCGTCTGAGAACCGATAAAACGTTGTTATTACCAAGCCTCTTTTTTGCAGTCAAATGGTTGGTAACTTTTCTATGAAAAGTATTAACAAGATGGTAGTCATGGGTCAAATCATCGCTAACGATTATGATACTTTCCCTCACTGGTTTCAAACATTTGGGACAGGAGTAATAGGTGATGACAGGATGTACTGTCGCCAAATCATGGGAGTAGTTAGCACTTTGTACTTCACGTTGGTGTTCGCATTTGAAATTTTTGGCGAAATCGTAGACCCCAACACCTCATCCATATGCAGCTTCTTGAGCAGATTTTTTCTTGAGAATTCTGCCAGTCTTTGTTGAATAAGTGCTCACTGAATGGGTGAATCTCAGTCTTGAGCTCTGTTACCAAATCCATTACAGTTCCCTGTTTTTCGACAGGCTTTCATTTCTTGACTTGCTTCGTTCCCTTACTGGTGAAACATATTGTTGTCACGACTGTCCATCGTTTCCACTTGATGCTTTTGTTAGGGTCTGCAAGAATGGGATGAAGTCTTTCATGCATTTTATCAACACCACATTAACTACATATTCTTGTGATACACGAGGGATGTGAAAGTCGCATCCTGGTGGCTTTGGGCACATTTTTGTTCTGACAACATTGTAGCCATCTTTAAAAGTTCCTTTGTGGATGCTGTTGACTGCTTCTAATTGGAGATTTACATTTTCGCAGTATTCACAGAGACAGCCAACATACTTGAATTGTGCTTTAGTTTTTACATTTTTGGGTCTGAGACTATAGAAGATCCCTGCACTTAGTGGCTCATCTGGATGTGATTTGCTTGTACAGATCTGCTATGGTTGATTCCATTACATTTGTTGGTTTGTAGCTTTTTGCTTACTAACCTTTTATTAGGCGAAGGATTTGAGTTTTCTTGGGAGAAATTTTTGATGAGTTTAATCCTTTCCAGTGAGATACCACTTTGGCCAGCTGATTGTTTCCTTGCTCTTTGCAGAAGTTCGCGGCTACAACCAAAGTGTCTTGCAGCCTTCCTTTGTTGCTTGGTTTTAAACACTTTTTCATGGTACTGAGAGACATGGCCATATACTTCCATTTTGCAGAATTTCTTGGTCCTGAAAGGACATCGTCAATGGCTTCCATTACTCCCTCTTGTAATGGATTTCTACCTGTTATTCCTGCCTTTTTTAGTCCTTCAGCTTTCCTTGGTGAAGCTTTCTCTACTAGGTCAATTGTTGTGGAAATAAAATGCGACGTCTGCTGTGGCATAGCTTTTCTATCACGTTGAAGGCTCTTTCTCCTGGCAGTCTTCACCTAAATCATTATTTCTGTTTTGTAACCTTGTGTTCTGTTCTAGCAACTCTCCCTTGCATTCAATTGTTCCTCCTGATCTTTCAACTTCTGTTTCATCTTTCACCTTTCTTTCCATTTCTTGAATCTGCATTTTCTCAGAGACATATATTTCTCTCGTCTTTTCTTGTTAATCTCAGCCACCTCTGCCGCACTTTTCTTAGCACAATATTTTTGCTTCCTCTCAGTTTCGTAAGCTTTTTTTTTCTCATATTCCCTTCTCGTCATGACTTTTTAGGTTTACCATTCTCCGCTGCTCTTTTTCCAGCATTCATCTTAGCCATCCTCTTCCTGGAAGTTTCATTGTTACGTTGTTTTCTTTTATACCACATCTCAGCCTCTTCTCTTTCTTTTTTTGTTAGATTTCTCTTCAGCTTTTCCTCGGCTGTGGCAGTTGGTAGTACCTACTGTATATCTTAGTATCATTGTTCATCTTCTCGTACTTCTCAGTGTTTTTTCGTTTCACATGATCTCTCCAATTTTGTGTTTTTTCCTTTGAAGGCAGCGGAGCAGCGCTTGTGGAAGCACCCCCATCTTGGGATCGCTTCTTCCCCCATGTGCCCTAATCCGCAAATTGAATGATTGCATCTATGAATTGGAAGAAATAAAACATTGAAAACCAATATCAGTGGCATAGTAAGCATGAATTCTGTGACAGTCATGACAGTGAAACTGACAGTGTAACTCTTCTGACTGCACAGCCACAGGTTCCGTATACTGTACATTTATATCTATTACCTTTCCTGAGTTTTTGTGAAAATTCTTTAAACAACTTTTAAACAAAAGTAAGATCCAATTTTACTCACAATTGATGGCACAAATCTTGGATGACGACGCCGATTTTTTTTTCATAATAACAAAGTGCTTGCGCTATTTGCTTGGACACTGGACTTATTACTGATGCTGTAACACGACGTCAAACAAAAGGAACCAGACTACGTTGTTTTCTCAGCACAACCTCGTTCCCGTTCCTCGCTCGCTTTACCACTGCAAGTGGTAAAAGTTTTGGGTATATGGTTGCTACACGGCATGCACACAGCTCATAAGCTCATTTTCATTTAGACTTACTGAAAAAATTAGGGTGACACGTACATGTATCTAGCCGACAAAAATTTTGCTTTTAATTAATTTTTTTTACTCGAATGTTAAAAGCTTGTACTCAAGTCGAGTCTCCATGAGAGGTTCGTGTCGAGTCATTTGGTCAGAGAGACTCAAGTCGAGTCATTTATCCGTCAGGGTTCAAGTTAAGTAGCCAAAACTTGTAACTTGAGTCAGACTCAAGTCAAGTTGTTGACTTGAGTCATTACAACTCTGGTTAATAACAAACAAAATGTGCTATTTCATCACAATGAGTTATTATGAGATCTCAGAAATACACTGTTGTATAAATGCCACAATAAAATGATTCAAATAAAACATAAACAACTTGGCTATTTTTTCCCAAAATAACTCCAGAAGTGTTCAGGAAGGCAGGGTTCCTGCGGCCTGGAAAAGTCCTAGAAAAGTAGTGGAATTTTGTTGAACTGACAAAAGTCTTGGAAAAGTCATGAAAGTTTCAAATACTGTGTGTGATTTTTAGTATCAGAAATAAATGCATAAAATATGTGATTTTATTTGCAGCTTTGAAAGTCCAAATAGTCCAAGAAATTGCATTATTGGGTCATGGATTTCATAATGTGGTCATGGAAAAGTCATGGAAAAGTCATGGAATTTAATTCTCCTTCAGGTGCAGGGACCCTGGAAAGGGCAACTGCACAAGCAACTGCACAAGCATTTAATTTGATGATGTGAGATCATACCAAGCACTAACAAATACATGTACATGAATATTTAATTTCCTGTCCTTCAGTATATACAAAGTTTTAAGGATGCATATTACCAGCAAAGAATTGCAGCAATGATGGTAGGGTACAAGGTCTCATGGTTGCAAAATGGATGGTTTAAAGCAAGCACTTGCTTCTCTCCAGCTATGGACATGCCGGGTTTGCTAGAAAGCAGTGATTGCTCAGATTTTAGAGCCCCGTCAGTTCAACTCCTTCTGTGTCCTTCCTCCATGAAGATACCAACTTGCAAAGGGACTAAAGTCCCATGCAGAAAAAAAGGTTTACAAAGGGAACGGTGTTTGAGATTGAAGCAAAAGAGAAGAAAAATCAAAGCAACCGTATTTGTTTGCAACAGAACATAGGGCTTTTCTGCATTTTTGAGTTTTGAAAAAAATTACACTTACCATGTAGGCATGTGCTGTAAATTATGTAAAGTGAAAAAATGAGTACAAGAAGACTTGCAGATGAAATTTGCAGAAAACTATAAAAGTCACAAAAATATATTGGATGACATAATGTCATCATGACATCATCATACCCTTAACACATCCTTGTCTACTGGTATCCCAGTCTACCAGCATCCTGGTCTACCTACATGTAACTAGCATGCTAACTATGAACCCATTTTGGTCTACAGTAGTCTAGTTACAGGACCTTTAAATGTGCACTTTCAAGATGATGTCACGTAACCCACGATTAAGTAATCAGGACATTACCCGAAATGTCACCTATGATGCTTCAATATATTTTTTTCAAAGGTGGGGAGTAAACCAAGGTATAAATAGAAAACCAGGTTAAGTTATTAGCAGTGTCATTTAATCAAACTCTTAATTTTCTGATAGTTAGACACGCACAAATGCTAACTTTAAAAAAGCTGCTGTATGATTAACGTATCACAATAGCCTCTGTAGTGACCACTGTAGTGACTGTGCTGTATATGCCTGACAATGTAAAGGCATGGGCTCTTGATTTGTAACTTGGAAATGTTACATGTTTTATCTTTCAACTGATGATTATCACTCCATTTGGTTGTTATGTGGTTTGTTTTCAGGAGGGGAGACAGCTGAGATGCCTGGTTTATATGAAGTAGGGGAATATGACTTGGCTGGCTTCTGTGTTGGTGCAGTTGAAAGGCAGCAAACCCTTCCATTCACAGCAGACATAACAGTTGGGGATGCTGTTATTGGTATTGCATCATCAGGTATCCATAGCAATGGTTATAGCTTGGTGAGGAATATTGTGGAGAGCCTGGACATGGGTTATGCATCTCCCTGCCCATTTCAAGACAACACAACACTTGGTAAGAATTAGATTCTATTGTTATGTGTCAGACTCATAGAAACTTATACACTCTCAGTAATTTGAGCTCGGGTGAGACGAGACCCCGGTTTAGACGAGCATACCGGTACATATATTTGCCAGTCCTGACTGAATTGTGCACATTCCTATGAGGGAAAAAAATGTGTGATACGAGCTCAGATGTTATGAGATTTCGGTTAAGACGAGCATTTTTGTGCGCTGGCCTAGTGCAAATCTATCGTTATCTGTCTATTTAGCACAAGCTTTTTTGACGGCAACTTGTCAATCAGCCAATCCATTCAATTTTGAAAGGCGTTTCCGTAATTTATGCGTGTACGGTAGAACAGCGCTGTGGTTTCCCTCACCGAATTGAGCCGTTTTTGTCCAGTGCTGCAATGGGCATTTGTGGTTCCCGTACCCAACGTAGAAATTCTCTGTGGCGGCTCTCGTACCGCCTGAACACAAGCGAGTGCCAAAAGTGCTATGGTATTTAGGACATTGGTGAACAAAAGAAATCTTTTGTTTGATTCCCCCACCCCAAAAAAACTCCCCAAGACCAAAGTCCCACCAGGAAACTAATAAAAATTGTGCTCTGTAACCAAACACCCGGCCCAAAAACGGCCCACCCTCCATCTAAAAATCGTTACCTGCTCCCCACCGTAACATGAAAACTTCACCCCTTCCAATTTTGAAATTTCTATAAATTCTCAATTTAATAAAATCATGACTAAAACCGTGATTTCAGTCCAAAAATGTTTAAGAAAATAACAACCACAAGTTTTGAAGAAAACAGTGTATCCCTCGCTAAGAATTTTCCACCAAACCCACATGCCTTTCCAAAGTAAAAGCCAATATTCGCCCTCTGCTGTTACACCACCAATAGCTGGTTTCCTCACATTTTTATGTGCAACAAGCACAACTCTGGTGTTGGTTACTAACTAAAAGGTTAATGTACTTACGTTATGTGCGTGCATGTGGATATCATCACAGCGTGTGGGGCCGGGGACGTGTCGCTCCGAATCTGTATCTCACTTTCATAAACAAACTTTTTTGAAATCAAATTCATGTAACAAACGTACATTCCCTTTAACAACAAGTTATGCATACTTGTACACATGTACGCTTTTATACCTACAGTCAATTGGTGATACATACATCGAGCAGGACGGCAGCTTTCTCATAAGACGAGGTCCGGATAATACGAGCTAATTTAGAAAGTCCCAAGGGGAGAGTAAACTGTATATTATTTATAGTGTTTTGAAGGTGGTACTATATGCTAATGTACCAAACAGATGCCGAGGATTTATTCAGCAGTTGTATAACACAAATAATGAAGGCTTCACATTCTTGCAACAGAAAGAATAATGTTTAAGAGGTGACATTCTTCAAGGTAAAGTTGAGTTTAATGGAGCATTCTCTGTCTCAATCCCATTTTATTTCCACATACGACAAATATTGGATATATTGTGTGTAGAAGAAGAAAATATTTAAATAATACAAATGTGGAGGGCTCCCATAGGAAGCAAAGCTTGCTGAGAATCGGAACCCTTTAAACAAATTTCAATAAATTAGATAAGTTAGAGATTTTAAGAAATCATTAATAAAATTGTTGCCTTTTATAATGTCTAAGGAGATATATCAATCATTTAATACATAGAATAATGAAGAGTAAAAGACAGATACAAGGTTTTCATGAATTTTTAAGATTACCAAATCAAGATCAAACGGGAATTCCAGCGAGAGAAAATGTGTATACATTGAAATTCTAGCTCGAATATTGATTTACAAGGAAAGCTTTTATGTTGCTTCTTGAAGGTTGACAGTTGTTCTGTAGATTGAATTCCATAATTTTGGGCCATTGAATGTTATGAATTTTTGTCCCAATGTCATTTGAGTATCAGGTATGTGATGGTGATTGGCTTGTCTAGTAAGAATGGAATTTATCATTTCTTTGAAAACATTGGGGTACATCTTCCTTAGGAACATATACATGAAAACACCAAGCTGAAAAAGGTGTCATCAACTTTTAGAAGTTCATACTGACTAAACAGTGGATCTGTATGAGCCAGGTAATCCGAGTTTGAGATAATGCAAACAGCTCTTTTTGGGAGAAGAACTCTATTGATGATTTGTTTATGTGTGTTGCCAAATGCTGGAATTCCGTAATTAATATATGAAGGAATCAAACTACTGTATTATACAATAAGAGTGTAATACTGCAACCTCTGGCCCATCTACGCCCCTCTACTGGCCGTCTGAGGTGTAAGCGAGTCTGCCATATGAGTGGTACGAGTGACTCGCTTTGGCTTAGCATCTCACGAGCAGTCATGGCATTGGTTGGTTGTCCCTGCCACTGTAATGCTTGCCTACGGGCTTCCTCCGAGGTCTTCTGCCAACCCGTCTCTGCCCCAACCCAACAGTCAAGAGTGTGTCCGAACCCGCCCACAGCCGGAGTGTGCTGCTGGTCCAGTTGGGCTACACCGGCTCAATTTAGCAGTACACAATTAGCAAGTTGGCGATACACAACAGCACCTTGATTATTCACTGCGCTGTAGTCCAGACTGCTCCTCTTGATAGTCGCAGTGTTTGGCGGTAGCCCTGCCCACTCGCGTTGCATGTTACGTACCTTGTGTAGTAGTTGTTATACTCTACGTGGATGGTGTTTAGCGGGCATACATCGGCTGCGGCTGATCGGAATTAGCCTGCTTGCCTTTCTGGGGATTTTTCCCTGTCACCAACCCTTGATAATGACTTCTCATTCGGGTTCGGTGATCAAGAAATCAGAGGGCTCGTCCCACCCCTGATCAGCCCAGGATTTGGTATCAGTTACAGTACCTGGTTGGACTTCACGTTGGCCTCTCCAGCCCCTCTCTATCACCGCCCCCCCAACCTTTGCCTGCTTCATCATCAGGGCTTTCGTCCTCCTATTTCTGACCCGCTTCCTGCAGACACACAGCCTGATCCCAGGCTTGCTTCGTTACCGGGGTTAATGGCCTCCTTCTATTTCTGCGGACACACAGCTTGATTCCCCTTCCGGCCAATCCTCTTCCCAATGGTCTAAATCAGGGAATTCCTGAGGGAAGAAACACCAATTTTTTTGGGGGGGGGTTATCTTTCTCACATCATTCTTCATTTTAGAAAAAGAAACATTGTATCTTGAAAGACTCTAGCTTCCCTCGACTGAGTCCATTCCAGAACTTGTGCAGTGATATCTGCATCCTACTTCGGCTACTACACATCCGGATTCGAAGCCTTATTCTCCACCCCTGACCTGTTTGGGCAATTCAGGGCACTTTCCACCCTCCAGGGTCATATCATCCAGCGTTGGATGTCAGTTGTAGTGTGGGTTTTGCTTCTGGTCCTGGTCTTCCCCCCTCTTCCCAGAGTTTCCCCTCGATCGTTCTTGTGTGGACGCTATGGACAGACTGATGAAGGCCAAGTGGTGGACTTCAGGTGTCCACTTGCGCTGGGTTTTAAGTTCCCATTGGGTGATTTTGAGCAATATCTGTCGTTTCCAGACTTCCCTGCTCCTAACAGGCAAGACAGTTCTGGTTCAGTGGGACAACGCTACAGCTGTCGCCTACATCAATCGCCAAGGGGACGCTCGCTAGCTTACCCTTTGCCTACTTGCCTGGGATCTGCTTCAGTGGTCCATGCGTCATTCTGTCCTGGTACTTGCCAAGCTCATTCCCAGGATACAGAACTACCTGGCCAATGCTCTTTGGGCAGGTTTCGCCCAACAGAGTGGACTCTTCAGTCAGAGGTGGTCCATGCCCTCTTCTGAGCAGGCTGCACGTACATGTAGACCTCTTTGCATCTCATCTGAATGCTCAACTCCCAACCTTTTTCACCAAATTTCTGCACCCTCAAGCGTGGGCGACCAGTGCTCTGCGCATCTCTTGGGAAGGTCTCCTGGTTTATGTCTTTCCCTCCATTTCGCTGATCCCAAGGGTGTTGTCAAAGATAGAGAAAGAGCGTTGCTGAGTGCTTCTCATTGCACCATACTGGCCGAGACAGCCTTCGTTTCCCACATCGTGAGGTTTCTGGTCAATGTTCCCCTGTTACTGCCCTAGTGCCACGACCTGCTGTTTGTTTCATCTGCACCTAATGTGTTGGACATTGTCCAATGATTATTTCAGCAGGCAAGGCTTTTTCAACACGCTGCCGGTCTGACTGTCAGGTAGACACCTGTCAACGAGAAAGATCTATGACAGCCGCATTCGACAGTACAACTCCCAGTGTAAAGAGCATGCTGTGAATCCGACCAAACAACTCTCTCTCGTAACAGAGTTCTTTATGCATCTCTTCCAGTCTGGCCTCTTCATTTCAACAATCATGAACTACTGTTTGGCTCTGGTGGCTATCCATGGTGGTTTTCCTGATGGATCCTCTATCTCTAACAACCCTGCAATCCATCATCTTCTTCGAAGCACGTTTATTGAATGTCCCCCAACCAGATGGCTCGTTCCTTCATGGAGTCTGGGTGATGTCCTTCGACTTTTGGCTGCCCCCCCCATTACAACCTGGGGAACACGCCTTCCTTCTTCACTTAGGTATTAAGCTGGCCTTTCTTCTAGCTGTCGTCACTGCTCGGCGAGGCTGTGAAATTAAAGCTCTATCGATTGCTGATGGCCACATTCAATGGCAGCCTCACAGGGTCAGCTTGATCTCAGAGATTGGCTTCCTTAATACCAAGAACCAAACACCCCTTATTTCAACCTCTGGACATCTTCGTCCCAGACATCCGGTCGTTGGCCTCATCTTCCTCCGATAAACTCTGGTGCCCCGTCCGGACACTCAAATGGTACCTCCACCGGGCTAAGGACATTCGAGAGCAAGTGACTCAATTGCTCATCACATCTACAAAGCCTCACCGTCCAACCTCCAGAGACACTATTTCCTGGTGGGTGGTCTCGGCTATTAAGTTTGTTAATTCAGACCAGCCCATTAGACCTGGGCTCATTTTAAAGGCTTCCAAATTTCGGACATATGTAAGGCCGC